TTATAATCTAATAGGTAAATTAACAATGTAACTAGTATACATATACCGGTTAATTATAAAACAAGTCAACATAACGTATCGATACTATTATAATTTATGTCGATACTTATTGTCTAGAATGAATGGCCAAACGACAGACACACATAAAGTGTCGATACATTTACAATGTAACCGGTAGAAATATATCGGGTTAATGACGAATAGGTCAACATAAAGTATCGACACTTTTTAAATTTGTGACGATACACTTGCCCAGACGAGGTGTACGCATAAACTTTCGATACATTTATAAAAAGTATCGATCCCAATACAATGAAACCGATAATTATTAACAGGTTACAATGTAACCGGTAAAAATATACCGGTTAATTAGCAAATATGTCTATATTATGTATCGACGCTCTTTAAATATGTGTCGATATTTTTTTTCCAAAATGAAAGCACAAACAGGTGCATGCATAAAATGTCGATACATTTAAAATTGTGTTGATCCCAAAAACATCGAAACCGATAATTATAATGTAGCAGGTCAATTTACAATGTAACCAGTTGAAATTTATTGGTTTTATGAGAAAATAGGTTAATATAAGCGCTACCTATTACATTATATAAGCACTACCTAATATGTTATTGTACTTGATAATATTTCCGGTTAAATGCCTATTTTATTATATAAGCGCTACCTATTACATTATATAAGCACTATTGGATATGTTGAAAGTGTCGATAATTTAATATAAGTATCGACACTCTCTGAATTTAAAAGAGAATAAGTTATAGCGCCTAAAAAATGTCGACACTTTATGAAAATGTATCGATATATAACAACATAACAGCTAAAAATATGACAAAACCGGTCTCAAAATGACAAAACAGGTAAATAACTACCGAATATGTTGACAGTGTCGATACTTTAATATAAGTATCGACACTTTTGGAAATAAAAAGAGAAGAAGTTATAGCGCCTAAAAAGTGTCGATACTTTGAAAAAATATATCGATCTATAACAATATTACACGTAAAAATATGACAAAATCGGTCTTAAAATGACAAAACCGGTAAAACGATACCGGATATGTTGAAAGTGTCGATAATTTAATATAAGTATCGACACTTTCTAAATTTAAAAGAGAAGAAGTTATAGCGCCTAAAAAGTGTCGACACTTTATGAAAATGTATCGATCCATAACAATAAAAACAACTAAAAATATGACAAAACAGATAAATAACTACCGAATATGTTGAAAGTGTCGATATTTTAATATAAGTATCGACACTTTTGGAATTTAAAAGAGAAGAAGTTATAGCGCCTATAAAGTGTCTATAAAAATATATCGATCCATAACAATATAACAGGTAAAAATATGACAAAATCGGTCTCAAAATGACAAAACCGGTAAAACGCTACCGACTATGTTGAAAGTGTCGATAATTTAATACAAGTATCGACACTTTCTGAATTTAAAAGAGAAGAAGTTATAGCGCCTAAAAAGTGTCGACACTTTATGAAAATGTATCGATCGATAACAATATAACAGCTAAAAATATGAGAAAATAGGTCAACATAAAGTATCGACACTTTTTAAATTTGTGTCGATACACTTGTCCAGACGAGGTGTACGCATAAATTGTCGATAAATTTATAAAAAGTATCGATCCCAATACAATGAAACCGATAATTATTAACAGGTTACATTGTAACCGGTAAAAATATACTGGTTAATTAGCAAATATGTCTACATTATGTATCGACACTCTTTAAATATGTGTCGATACTTTTTTTCCAAAATGAAAGCACAAACAGATGCACGCATAAAATGTTGATACATTTAAAATTGTATCGATACCAAAAACTTCGAAACCGATAATTATAATGTAATAGGTCAATTTACAATGTAACCGGTTGAAATTTATCGGTTTTATGAGAAAATAGGTCAATATAAGCGATACATATTACATTATATAAGCGCTACCTAATATGTTATTGTACTTAATAATATTTCCGGTTAAATGCATATTTTATTATATAAGTGCATATTTTATTATATAAGCGCTACCTAATATGTTATTGTGTTTGATAATATTTCCGATTAAATGATATCACATAACCGGTCTAAATTTTAACCGATCACTTCTTTAACCGATCATGCCGTTTTTTTAACCTATTTTTAGACGTCGCAGAGGAGAAGTACCCACAAAACAGACCAACCGAAAAGATAAACAAAAGATGGACGAAATTTTCATCAAAATAATATATTCGATGTTTTAGCACTTGTTCGGTCATTTTCTCAAGTCTTAATTTAAGTCCATGTTTGTCAGTGTGAAAACAAAGCACGTTCTTTGTGACCGGACATGCTTTGGTACCAAACAACGCCATGCGTTTATATATATATCAATTTTGTTGAGTTCTTAATAGGAGGATTATAATGATATTACTCCCGTTTTTATACAAGAGATTAGGCAAAACTATTTACTAAAATATTGAACAATCAACTAAACAAAATCTAGAGAAAAAGAAGAAGAGAAGTTTCGTTATAAGTAATGAAAATATTTAAAGTGTAAGAATGGATAAAAATAAATCGATTTACTTGTAAATTATATTTTTATTACGCTTAACAACATATCTAAAAAATACATCAAATTTTAAATAGAAAATATTAATTATAATATTAAAATTAGACTCTAATATTCACTTAAATGGTCATTTTAGCTCATATTTTTTTGAAGTGTTTCTTTCAAAAATTAGTAGAATATCATTGCATCTTAATGGTATATATTATATTTGATATTACAATTTGTAATTACAAAATTATATAAATTTAAATTTTAAAATAATATTAACTATAAAGTTTAAAAAGTATAATTACTCATGTAATTAAATAAATTCTCATATTTTTTCTGAAGAAAATAAAGAGTGTATTTGAGAGTCTTCAACTACATTCAATTCAATAGAACTCATAAATTAATTTACATAACAACTTTCTAAACCCACCTTGAAATTGTTATTGACTTAGCATCATTTTATGTTTCAATATGATATACTTATATATACAAATAGTTATATTTATTATTAACAAGTCTTTCAAACCTAAATCTTAAAATTGTACGGATCAATTGATCACAATGGTTAAGAAATTATTGTTATTCTTTAAAGTTCTGAGTTGGAACATTTAGTATGCAGAAATTATGAGCGTGTAATGTAAAATGACTGAGAGCCTTTGAAAAGATATTAGCTCGTATTCACCCTAAATTATTTAAAAGAAAATCTTAAAAATAATATTGTTCAAAAATACAATCACCAACCTTAAATACAAATTATAAATCAATAGGGGTTAGTTCAAGTGGCAATTGTTGATTCATAATTGACCTCAAATGGCAATTGTTGCAATCACCAACCTTAAATACAAATTATAAACCAACAGGGGTTATTACAATCACCAACCTTAAATTATGTTTCAATATGATGAATGATGATACTAATAGCTGTTGATTCATAATCGACCTCAAATGGCAATTGTTGCTCGTTATAATTTTACAGGTGCCTTTAGAAGGCTTTAGTGCACTTCAAGGGATTTCAGGTTCTCAGAAGTTTCAGATACACAAAGCATATGGCAGCCCTGATCATTTGCCTTCTGCTCATACCTGGTAATGCGACATATTTGCCAGTAGTCATTTGCATGCAATTTGCATCTTTAGATCATTCTATCATTAATAAGAAGCATTTCCTTGTGATTAATGCAGTTTCAATCAATTGGATTTACCCGAGTATCCTTCTAAGGAACATCTAGAAGAGAGATTGCTTCTTGCAATTCATGAAGCCAATGAAGGGTTTGGATTCGGTTAAGATTCGAAGCAGTAATTGGGGCCATCATTGTAAATAAGGGGCTAGGCTAACGTTGAATTAGTACATGTTTATATGTTGTAGTCACATATTGGCCATTGGAATTGCTCTGGCAGTTTAAATTTTGCCATCTTTTTCGTTCACCCCATTTCTTCTACTTTCTAGATTTGCCTGCCTTTGTAGTAGAGGGTCTCTAATGATTCATCACATTGTTGGCTTCTTTCCCGGTGGTCTTACATGCAATTTGGTCCTTTTATTACTTTATAAGTTGAACAATAATTGCATTAAGTAAATTTTTTATTACTATTTTTGGTAAGTTTTATCTTTACCTTTTTGTTATTTGATTTGCAAATTGTCAAACGAGTTCAGTTGGTTGAGGAGCTTAGGCTTTAGACAATCCCTTTAATCTCAGCGCGTTTTGTAAAATAACAGAAGATCACTGCACCAGGATCCAAAAATTAATGCACAATTTTATATTTAAGAGTTTAATTTTCCCCCGGTCAATATAGCTGTTTAATGTTATTAACGTTATTATTTTAGGGTATGTTTTGTGACAATAGTTATAAGGGCACCGTGGATCATTTAAAATGGGATATGCGGTGTGTTTGTAAATTGAGAAGAAATATGTGGTTTGTTTATAAATTGAGCAGCAGTTGTGGCATATGATTTTGTTTAAGACTTCCAATAAAATGATACAAACGAACTAAATGAATTTATTTTTCCAAAATCAAATAATAATAGTTTCTGAGGTGAATTTTGTTTTTTTTTAATATTTAATTAATAAATTAGAAATTTAAATTAAATTTTTAAGCGCATAAAGTGTTTTTTGTTAGAATTTTTTTATGTTCTTATTTTAAGGTAAAAATTGTAAAGGTATTAAAAAAATTATTTGATGAATATATGATGTAATTTTTTTATTTTCATTTATCTATTTCTTTTAGGAAATTAAGAGAAGAAAGAAAAAGGGAGAGAAATGGAAAGAAGATTCTCTCTCTTAAAACGGATTTTTTTTTAAAGGGATACTTATTTATCAATTAATGTTTTTTAATAATACATTTCATTTCTAAAATTCTCGCTCTTAAAACGGAGTTCTATTCTCTCAAAAAATCATTCATATCACAAAATATACGTGAGAATAATCACTTGTTCCTACATTAGGAAAAATAAAACTGTGATAAGCCTTCATGTTTTGGTCAAGTAAAACTGTGATGAGCCACCTAAGAAAAAGGAAAGAAAAGGAGCATGATCTCGGTTATCTTAACCACATTTTCAACTTATTGCCGCTATCTCTAGGCCCCCTACGCTGATCCAGGTTGATTTTGTTGCTGGATAAGCCTTTTTCAACAGTGTTGACTGATTTTGCATTCCTAGCCAATGCTCTAGTTGAGTAGTGCTTTGATTCACTCGACACCTTCTTTTCGAGCAGAGAAGATGTTAGTAATGAATTGTTCTCAGTCCCTTTGCTTTGTACCTGTTTTTTCCTTCTTAACTCTCTAAGGGATTCTGTTCCTTTCAACAAGTGAGATCCCTCCTCTTTTATCCTGCTCCCATTAGAGTTTAAGCTCCTTAGACTTGGAGGATCAATGCCATATATGGTTTTCTTGGGTGTGACTTGTAATTTCTCCGCAGAATATGATATTCCCGGTCGCATAATCTCTTCCTGGTGTTGTCTCCATTTTTGTTCAAGTTCATTACCCTAAAATTTCACAAAGAAGGGTTTAGTTTTTTTGGCTGTAGGATCCCAAAACTTTAATTCCAAAGTCCAAACTTTGAAAGATAGTAAAAAGAACCTTTTGTTTTGATCCTCCACTTTCTCTTTCCATTCTCAACTTGCTTTCGAGTTCTTTAACCTGTATCAGTAGAATCATATCACACATCCTGAGAGTAATAATGGGCTAATATACAAAAAAAAATGGAGGTTTCTAAGATCATTTGTGTTACCAGTGAATTACCAAATTTGATTCCTTCAACAACTTTTCTTTTCAGACTAAACTCGCCATAATAAAAATTTTCCAGAAAGAAACTGGCATTTTGTCAATCTAATGGGATGACATAACATCATTTACCACTAGTTGCTGAATTAAAAACCAATGTCAAAAGGCCAAGTGGGTATTTGCTTTAGATGTCAATTATCAAATGCTCTTTTATTGGTAAATCAAGAAATCTCACAAAAGGAAAGAAGTAATCATTTTCATTAGTTACTATTACCTTTTGTTGTAGCGTCCCTGAATGAAGTTCAAACTCCTGTGTTCTCTCTTTCAAAATGCTTTCAAGTTCCATGACCTGTAAAAGTTATCCAATCAAATGAATTTAAAAGTGAACTAATCTTTGTGACTTTTTCTTTTCTCCAATGAAGCTTTCTCATCCAGTGGTCACCTAATGGTACTTAGTATCGATGCCAACTTCTCCGTATATTCAACATTGTGCATCAAATTTAATGACTTAAACTCGACAAAGTTAAAATGTCAGAGTTCATTCAACGGAAAAACCTTTCTCTGTAGAGGCAAGGATGCCGTCTGATTCTGAACATGCTCTTTCAGTTTGTTCTCGAGCTCCTCGACCTATGGTAAAGATAGAAGCCAAACATGGCATATGGTTAATTAGAAGGAAAAACAAAGTACAAGGATAGAAAACATGTTTTCTCAGTTTACAATCAACCTTTAGCTGAAAATTTGAGCAAATTTCTTCCTTTTCCATCATTCTTTCTGAAAGTTGCCACAACTGCCTCTCTATTTGTCTACAAAACTCCGTCTTGGATGAAAGCTGGTGTTCAAGTTCATTGAGCTTTTCTTCTTGGGTTTTGCAAAGCTGTGCACTATCTTTGGCTTTACCCTCTAAGTTGTGAAAGTTCTCCATTGACTTTCTTAAAGCATCATCTTTTGATCTCAGTTCTTGCTTGGCCTTGTCAAGCTTCAATAGTTCAACAGGAAGATAAGGCGAATCGGCACATTATTGTTCTGCGTTAAATTATGTACATAAAATAATTAGCTTACCATGTGTTTCAACTTTTGAAGCTCAGCCGTGTCAACCTGTTTCCTTACTGGACCCAATTCCACTCCTCGAACCCGACTTGCAAAATTTAACGAACTTAGGGTCTCACCTATGTCCTGCTCCAAAGGGCTGATTTGTACAAACATCAAGGTTTTGGAGTCACCGCCTGCAGCAGGTTAGTAAAGGCTTTTAAGAACGGTAGAGAGAATGCTTTTGTTTCCTTCATATAATAACAAATCAGTAGCCCGTCATCATTGATAACGGCACCATATTCTATATTTAAAGCATTGCTTAACTCTTAGCATTTTTCTAAATGTGTTCATATATACAAAGGCACAAGATTCTTTTTGTTTGAATTTTTCACAGTTGACTAATAGGATATTCAAATGAGAACCTCCTTCCATGTGATAGTTTACCTAACGAATCTTGAAGGAGGTGCGTGAGCTTGGAATTCCTGCAAAAACCAAGGAGATAAAATCTGAGTACTCAAAACCGGTGACGTACATCTGGCATACAATGAGATAAGCAGCAAACCTATATGGTATGTGGCTGCTTTTGTTTGCCAAAGCCGAAATCACATCTCCTAAAGCAGAGAGTGATCTGTTAATATTTTGGGCTTCCTTAAGCCGATCTCCTTGCACCTCTGTTTTTGCTAGCCTTTCACTACCGGCCAAATCCACAAGCCATAGTTTGCTTTTGGTGTACCCACCGCTGATCAAATTCTTTGCTCTAACCAATATGCAGAGCATGCTGCAAAAACAATACATATATCCGAGCCTCAAATAACTAGAAAAAAAAACGAAAAATGGTTAATATGGAAAAGGCCACTAAATTGATGAAAGTCCTTGGCAATACTAACCAGTGAGATCGGCTGCTATGCTCGTTCACATTGTTTGACCCTATAGCTCTTGCATTGTTTCCAGACTGTAACACACTCCAAACCTCCTTAATGTTTTCAACTTTAGCCTCCACTATCCCAGGAACATGATGAAACCCCTCTGACGCTTGCCTAATCTCCAACCTAATGAATAAACCAGACCAAACAAAGGCAATTCTTACACTCACAGCAGATACCAAGCCAAAACTAATTGACGATAAGAATAAGATTTTGAATTTACCTTTTCGATGATGGTTCAGTTGCAAGCAAGTCTCTGATTTGCTCATTGTAGACTTCAAGCACACTGACAGATATACTGTATGTAGAATTTTCTTTCCGCTGTTCAACAATTTTAAACAACTGCTCTAAAGTCCTATAGTTGACTCCTCGATTCTGTCCAGTACCTTCCATGGTAAAAGTCTTCCCTGTCCCTGTCTGCCCATATGCAAATATACAGACATTGTAACCATCTAAAACCGAAGTCACCACTGGGGATGCATCTGCAAACACCGAAACTGTAACAACAAAGAAGCTTCAGGTTAAAGTATGTTTGTTTATCCTTATCGTCAACTGTAGCATTTGGTCGAACTATTGGAAAAAACGTTTTTTTGGGCTTCAAACATAGTCAGAAATTAATCATTCTGAAGGGGGCAATATAGCCGGAGGAAAAAATAAACTGACCCACTGGGGTAAATTTGCCAAAATAGTAACTCAAAATAAACAAAATCTAATTATAGTATTTACTTTCATTATGTTATTAAATATACCATAAACTTGGATCGGGTGAAGAGAAGCTAAAATATTTGTTGTTATTGGAAAAATATACTATACATGTCCTTACCTTGATCATCCTTGGGTGTATAAACTCTATCGAATTTGAAATTTTTCTTCACGGAGCTGCTTGCAAGTATCCCTATATCTCCATCCTTAGCTGCACTAAAATCTACAACTGTTGTATACCCAGCTGAAGCCTCATCGTTACTTAATGGGCGGCACCTACAGAACACTCTAATGTTTCCTGTAAATTGTGATTAGATTGGATTAGGTTCAATCTAGACTACAAACATGGAAAACTTGATGTGAACTTTAAACATCACAACATGCCTTTTGCTTCCTCTATCTGGTTATGAAGTTTTTTTCTCAGCTCCTGCTCCTCGTTGAGCTTCAGTTTTAGATCTTCAGACTGAGCCACTGCCATTCAAATAGATTACTAAAATATAGAGGTGTTTACAAAAGAAAGATAGTTGCTTGGTGATACATACCCAATGCTTGGATTGCATATATCATCTTGTTCAATTCTGGAATTGAATCAGCACAGTCATGAGCCTTATTAGATAGCTGAGAATGCTTTTGCTTTATGGTCTGAAGAAGGAAGTGAATATGAAACAACCTATTTGATGTTTCGCTAGGTCTGTCAAGAAAATTGTACAAGTTTTGGACAGAATTTAGTTTACCTTAATCTTGTTTTCCAACTCAATGATTGAAGAAACCCATAACCTCTTATCACATTCATATTTAGTAGAAACAACTTTCAACTTTGCAGCTTGCTTTTCCAAGGCCCGATCTACATAAACATTAGCACGATGTAAAAATTTCAGTTTTTCTAACAAACAGAACAGTTCTTATATTTTCCTCCCCTTTTAGCAACCCAGATGTAATTGTTCTTCTATCAAGACATTCAGTTAATACGCTCCTTACCTAAATTCAAATTTTGGAAGAATTTGTTGTCGAGTTCCATCCTGACCTTTTCTAGTTGCTTATTTGAAGCTGTTAATGACATCCAAGCTTCATAACATTCATCTGTCTTGAGTTGGCACAGGTTCTTCAGCTCTTCTATCTTCTTTTCATACTTTAATGTAGATTTCATTTTCATATGTTTCTTCTGCAAACCATATGAACTTAAAATCAATGTAATGTAAGCGAGAACTTTTGTACTTAAAATGGTCTCAATCCAAAGTTCCCATCTCACCTGAGGTGATGGAATGTCTATTTTAGCAGAACAATTGTTGCATAGAAAATAGTCGCAGTTCACTCGAGATGCTTCATCTGGTTTAGAAGATATAAGAAAATAAGCAAATCTCTCAGGGAAAATCCGCAATAGAAAGCTAACCCTAAAGAAAAAAGATACCAGGTATTTCTGTTGCCCGTTTTATGCAAATCCCGTTAACCATTGGGCTTCCGCAAACACCTTCAAATCTTACAACAATCTCCTTGCACTGCCCCACGGAAACTCTAATATCAACCACTTGCAATGGCTTGTTTGCTCCAACTATAGAGTATATATCAAGTTCAGACAAGACCTGCCATTCTCACCAAAATGAACAGCGAAATTCCTCTACAAAAAAGAACCAAATAAATTATATAAAGTAATAAATTTGACTTGCCTTGTCTTCTTGAATGAAGACATCAAAAACTCTCATTCCTTTAGGGCCATTGGTGTTCACAATTTCAGCAAAATGAAGATCAACCAAGTAGTCCCCCGGGGGGAAATCATTAAAACGGTATGTGAAGTTTCCAAAACGAGCTGATTGATAAATGGATGGCATATCACCACCATCATCGATGCTTTCAATGGTTCTTAAAACATCCCCTCCTTCAAAAAAGCTATCGCCACGAACATCTATTGCGCTAGTTCCTTCTTTCATTAAAGTCCCTCCTCCAGCATTTACAAACATTACAGCATTGCCTAGAGCAAAACAGAACATTGGAAGTCGCTTTCACATTTAATAGTTATCAAATATTTCGAAGAATTCGAGATTATTGGTCATAGCAACCAAAGACACCCCAAAAAAACATCAACTTTAGACTCCGACAACAAAATAAAGAAACAAGAATTGAAGAAAAGGAAAATGACTGAAAATTATAAATAAAGAAAACGAGATAAACCTGAGAATTCGGAGGTTACCAAACCAGATTCAATAAATCTTGAACCAGAAAGGCAGAGTGATGAATCCACTTCATCTTCATGATGTTCATTCTCGTACACAGAATTCATAGTAGAATTCGGATCTTCTTCGCGGTTATACAAACTCCAAGGCCTAGAATTAGGGCTTAGGAACTTGGAGTCTTGAATATGAGATTTAAGGATTTGAGGTTCTGCCATTGGAGAACACCTATAATAAAGGGAGGGAATTCGAAGGTGGAACCGTGTTTTTGAAAATCTTGGTTTTTTGTTTCTTTTTACTTTGACTTTATGCTAACCATGAAAACTATCAAGGTTTGTGGTAAGAGTAAAGAGACAAAACGTCGTAATGCCTTAATTGATTCCAAATTTAAATTTGCTAAAATTGCGTTTGAACTTTGAATTTGAATTTGTATTCGATGGACCGTTATTATTTTGTTCGAGTACTTTACGGTTTAGGCTCCTCTGCCTGTCGTGGATCATATTCGTGGGCGGAGTATTGATACTAATTGTCTGATCCATGTGGTCCAAAATCACTTTTCTTTGTCAAATAACATTTTATTAATAAATAGCGGAAAATTATATTTTAAAAAGCAATAATTGTGATTACTATGAATATAATATAAATAATTATAATTATTCAAATATATTTAATTTATATTTTTATATACACTATTTGATAAAAATATCAATTAAATTCAAAATACAATTATAGATTATAATTAAGCACTATAATAAATTGTCAATTTGATAATTAAAATATATATTATTGATTGAATTTTAATTATATTATTATTATTATTATTATTATTATTATTATTATTATAACATTAGAAGATATTGATTTAAGTATATTTAAATATATAATAATTTTGATCAAGTATATTTGGTTAGTTGGTCAAGTTATTCCTTTATTTCCTTCATATTATTTTAAGTTATGGGTTATAGACTCACTAGGAGTACTCTCCTTCATTTTCCTATAATATATTCTTTTGAGTATATTTAAATATATAACTTGACCATTATAGTGCTTAATTATAATCCATAATTATATTTAAATATAACTTAAATATAATTTGATAGTATTTAAGTTATGGTCAATATTTAAATATTGATTTAAGTATATTTAAATATATAACTTTAAACTAATAATATATTTAAATATTAACTTTTGAGAATATATTTAAATATTATTATTTTACTAATAAAATCAAACATTGACTGTTATAATGTTAACGTGATAATTTATGATATTAATATGATAGTTTATGATATCGATGTAATAATCTGTTGTAATTAATGACGTGACAGATCGATTAAATTATTTTTTTATTAAATCTGAATGTCGATTTTATTATTATTTTTTTTTAATTCAAAGGCTTACTTAATTTGAGCTAGATGGTCCATTCCACCATCCGCTTTTGAATTACACATCTTTGCCCACCAAAACCACTGAATACTATGTGTTCTAGTTATCTTTGAGCCTCACTAAAAGAAATGTAGTTCACCGAAATTACTCAAAAATATATGTAAAAAAAATTAAAAGTATAAAAATGAAAAGCATAATAATTTAAGAATGCGGACAAAATGAAGTCGTACAAAATGGTGAAAATATAAATGAGTAATTAGATAGCCTTTTGAAAAAAATTAAATTATCTAGAATAATATATATTTATAATTATTTTTTAAATAGAAATATTATTCATTCTTATCCTTTAATTATTAAAATCTCATAACTAGTTTTTAAATTTAAGTATGATCGTGATATAAATAATTTTATTTTTAGAGACAATAATAAAATAATCTAATCATATTATATCGTTGGTGAAATTAGAAATTAAAAAAAAAAGAAAAATTAAATACTCTTTAAAAATATATATATGCAAAAAAAAATTCTCATCCTTTAATATATTAAACCAAATTTAACAAAGATTTTAAGATAACGAGTATACAATTACTCTTTAAAGGGTAATGTAGATGTCCTTATTGAAGACATCAAATTTCGTCCATTGATATAGTTTTTTTATAATATATTTTTTTATTATTACAAACTATATTATAGAATATAATATTTATTTATTCATTGGATTACAGGTTACAGGCCCATTACACGAAAATGAAACAGCTCAAGACCAATTGCATGCAAACCATTCCAGCGAGCTAGGGTTTCCAGAACCCTAGCGTTCCAAGCGGCGCCTCATCCCATGCCTGAATCTCACGGCCGTATGACTCTCACCTCCAACAGTCCGAGTTCTCCGGCGCAAGGAAAGCACACGAGGCCAACGCCATCATCAACAAACAACAACGCATTAGAGTTCTATTTTAAATAGGAGTCTAAAAACAGTTATTTTTTTCAGTATAAATAACATCCATTTGTAACACTACACACGATATCATAGGAGATTACACACGAAATAGGCTACCAAAATACCCAAGTAATACTCGGAAAACGAAAAAACAGTGAACCCAAGCAGCTTGTAACCATTTCGAAGTGAAATAATAAAGGTACTTTTTTTTACCTCGTTGAGTTTTTTATTTTTGCATGTGTGATTGCTCTCCTGTTTTAAAACCCAATCGTCGATGACCGGAAAAGGGGGTGTACGAAAAGCTTTTCTTAGATCTACACCCCATGAGGCGAATCTTGGAAAACTATGGCTATTTTTGAAATGAGGGGGCTTTGGGCTTTCAAACAATGTAAAAAGGTTGGGGATTTGTCACCGATGACAGGCGACCGACGAAGTGGCATGTCGTCGAATTCTAAAAATAACGGTGGAGTGTTCTTCGTGGGGAAGAACACTCGAGAGAGACAGGCTTAAGGGGGGAGGGGTTTTTGGTTTCAAAATGAAGGAAATGAGGTTTTTTCAAAAAAAAAAAAATTAACTCTTATACTAAACCTATCAGGAGATCCGCGCGCGACCCGACCCATCATGAGGGGATCCGCGTGTTTCTGTTTTTAAAAGGGTAAATTGCACTTTTTGACCCACCTGTTTTGAAAACTTTAATATTGACCCCCAAATCTGATTTTTAAACCCAATTTTCTTTTGATTTCGACTTGCAATTACGGTTTTCTTTCAATTTGGTCCCATTACTATTATTTTGCTTTTCTTTTATTTATTTATTATAACCGTCATTATTATTTTTAATATTATTACTTTATATATATATATATATATATATATTTCTTATTTTAATTTTTTATTTTTATTTTATTACTTTTTATCTCTGTTTACAAATTATTATATATATATTTTATCTTTTATTTTTTATATACTATTAATACTATTATTATCATTTTCTTCTTATTTTACTCATTTATATGTATATATATTATTTATTTATAGGTTTCTCTATTTTTTATTTATTGTTTTCGTTCATTTGTTTTGTATTTTTTTATTTTTTTATGTGTATATATATCCATTTGTTTGTTTTGGTATAATGCTTCCATGTATGCATAATATATTTATTACATTTTCTATTTTAAAATATCATATTCTATTATAATTTGTATATATCATTTATCTCATTCTTCCTTTTATCCTTTTTTTTGTTTTCTCTGTGTTTTTTCTTGTTTTGTTTATGGTTTTATTCTTTTTTTCACTTTGTTATATATTTACTCATGTTATCATTTTATCTATTCTGTTCTATTTGTATGTCTACTAAAGTTATCGTTCTTTTTTTTGTTTTGTTGTTGCTCTCATATTTACATGTCTTTTTCTCCTAATTCGATCTTGTATTTTAATATAAGTCTAACATCTTTAAACTCTTAAGGAAATTTTCACCAATTAGAGGTAAGTAATTGGAATATTATTTTTACCTTTAAATTTAACTTGCAACTTTCTTAATTTAAGACAACTGAAAATTACATAGTACCGAAAGGACAGTTCAAGGGTGTTAATCCTTCATTGACTGTAATCGACTCCCGAATCCGACACATCATTGGTAAGACGCAGATCAGGTAAGAAATAAGGTACCCGATCAACCTACTTGCTTTTAAATAAATGATCAGTGGTGGCTCCCAAAGCATTTAATCCAAGTTAAAACTCAATTTCGGGCCCAACCAAAAGACGATCGCGACACTTATATCATTTAATAAATTTTAAATTATTTGTCATAATTTTCTCATATATATTTCCAAACTCTTCACATCTTTTAATAAAAAAGTAGAATCTATATTGTTTGTCTTATAATTTATTAATAAAATATTTTAATAATTTTTATTGTACTTGATATATATATATATATATATATATATATATATATATATATATATATATATATATAAATTGATAAATAGATAGTATTATATCTAAATAAAGGAGTAAATTGGGTGCGTTTGGTTCGCAGAATATTACATTATTAGGGAAAATATTTTTTTCCAGAATTGTATTCCCACATTTGGTTCACGGAATCTTACATTACCGGAAATACTCTTTTCCCAATAGTATCATTTTTTGTTAAAATGGTAAGAATGTTAGTACCTCAAAATTCTTAAGTAATCTTATATTCCTACTACTTTGGACAAGAATACCCTTGGACTATTAATTCTTTTTATAATGATCCTTCTAAATTCTTATTTTTTATACTTTACTCAAAATATTAATAATTTTGAAAATTTAAAATATTTTATATTTTTAATATTCAATATTTTACTATTTATAATTTTATGGGATGAAAAAATAGTATTATTGTAGAATTTTAATTATTTAAAATAATATTTTACTACCATGATATTATTTTTATATTATATTATAATTTATATAAATAAATATGATACTTATGAACATTATTTAAAAATATAAATTTAATATTCTAATTATATTAATTATATATTAAATGTAATTTTTCCTCAAAAGTTAGATAATATAACAATTAAATTTTTTTTGAATTTTTATTCAAATATTTATAAATTAATATTAAAGTTTAACTTTAAAAAAATATATCACAAGGAAAATTTGGTAAAATATGCATCCCAATAATCTTACATTCCTCCAACCAAACATTGTAATCTTACATTTCTACTAAACAAACCAAACAAGCAAGGTAATACAATATCCCTATAGTAATGTTACATTCCAATAATGTCATTCTCAAATATAATCTTACATTCCGTGAACCAAAGGCCCCTAAAGAAATAAGAGTATCATACAAAAAAATTCGACACTCGATTCTTAATTCCTCATGCTATACATAATTGAGAATTTACAAGATCCCCTTTCAAAAATTTTCTTTGAAAGCTTAACACCCACAATCTTCCTAATACAACTCAAAACC